GTCAACTGCCACTCATCGTGACGACTTCCGAAATCTTCGTGCAGGTGCCGACGCAGGTCCGCTGACGCCAGCTGCCTCACAAAATCCGAAATCGTCGGTAAATAACGCAGCGGAATAGTACTCACGTTCGATGTCGCGACAGCTCCAGCTGTCCGTTGCCCGGGGGGAGGGAGGCCACGGTCGATCGCGACCGTTCGAGCTAAGGATCTGGCGGTGCCGAAGGAGTGCCCCGTAAAACCATGGCCGCGAAGAGCAACTAACTAGTTCTCTTGGCCGGCCTACGCAACTCCTGGACCCCAAGGCATCCTTACTCGTCCCCCCCCCCCCGAGGGGTATTACACTCTAAAAAGCGGGGTAGGCTAGGAAAGTAGCTCTGATACCAGGTGTTATGAATGAACTTGTCAGAGTGCGCAGATATCGAATAACGAGAATGTTGAACTACAGAATGATTGAACAATGAAGTAGCGAGGCCTAAATAGGGGAAAACCTAGCTAGGCGGGGATGGTGTGGTAGGGTTGGTTCGCGGAGTGTCGCGATTGGTGCGGAGGCGGCTCGGTGAGGTTGGGATGCGAAATTGTAGGCCGAACCAGAGGGTCGCGTGGCCCTCGGGATGGCCTCGCTAACGAGTGCCTCAGTAAGGATTTGTAAATCCTTACAAGCTGTATAACAGTGGCGCTGCGTCGATTCGGTTGCCCTGTTACAGCCGTGATGGCGAAACTGTTCAGCTTCGGCAAGGGCGCGGTATTCTGCCGCACCCCGCGGGTCAGTTTCGTGCACTGTAGACGCTGTCTTCTGTCGAATCTGACTCTTCAGCTGCCACGCGGGGCGCAATCACTGTGCACGGTTGCGCCCCTGTAGTTCGATACTTGGGTCAACATTCTCGATAATGAGGGACTCGCTGCTACACTTCGAATAGTGAAGCACATAAAAAACTTCCGTAAAACCAAATCGTAACAAGGTGGCATGATCGGAGGCCGTAGGAATACGCCCTTATACAAACAGTGCTAGGTTATATGAGACAAATCAATAAATAGGAATGGAGGGGAGAATAAGAAATCGGCACGACGAGTAAGGCAAATACCGTCATACCCCGGATATAAGCGCCACCCTCGGATAAGCGCCTGGCGCTTTTAATTGGCGCATGGCGCTTATATCCGCTGCTCGATTATAAGCGCACCCCCTGAAAAAAAAAACCTTTTTATTATAAGCGCACGTAAACTTTAAATTTTGACATTTGTTCAATCGATGTAATGAATTTTACTTTAGCAGGGGATGCGTTGCAGATTCGGTTCCCTTCACATTCGGACCCTGCACTGGATGCGGATCCAGTCAGCAGGAGCTGTCAGGAGCTGTCAAGAGCTGTCAGATTGGGTATACCTCCCAGCGCGCGCGAGAATTTCACAGACGACCCCATGTAACTAAGGGCGCATTCCTGTCTGGACATTTGTGTCAGAAAGACAAGGCACTGTTCTGTATCGAACCGAACCGCTTTGTTAAAACATTCGGAACTTTGGTTCGGTTTGGTGCAAAGCGGTACCTTATGTTTGTGACACAAATGTCCAGACAGGAATGCACCCTAAGACTCGATTGGAAAGGCAAGCACGAGATCTACTGCTTGGTGTTAAAAAATATATAAATTATACATGTCATTTTATAAACGTCGGCGCTTATAAATTTACTCGATTATAAGCCCACCCCCCTAAAAAAAACCTGTTTTATTACTGCCCCCCATGGGGGTATATCCGGGGTATGACGGTACTCTTTATGAGACGAGAAATCACTAAATTGCAAAGAAACCACCTTTCTAAGGAGGGGAGATATTTGGAGAAATTCAACTTCTTAGGGCGTATTCCTATCCTCTTATCAAGAAAACCTCTTATCAAGATCACACTGAAATATCCCCGAAACCCAAAACCTCTCGCTACTTTTACCAGGCAAAAGGTACAATCTTGATAGGAGGTTTCTTGATAGGAGGCCGTAGGAATACGCCCTTAGGAGGTTTATATGGCAAGCCGCGCAAGCCTATGGATATAGGACGCCCAAACTTGTATTCAACCTACGGCTTAGCTTCTCCATGTACCTAGGGCGTGTGAGATCCCCGTGCACGCCGATTCGGCCATCTAAATCAGATGGCCGTTGCGAAAGTTACCATGTCGCGAAACTCGCCAATTTCTCGAAACTTGCACGGGGATCTACACGCGGTTAATAACAGCTAAGGGCGCGTGTCTTTTGAAATTTGGGCCAAAGTTCATGTTTTTTGCTCGAATTTTTATGTTTGAACTTAGGTCGACCTGTACTCGAATATCTTATTTTTAGAGTCCGAGCCGCGAATGCGCACTTCATCAAAAGCACGAGGCACACCAAAGTTCGAGTATCGAAGTTCAACTTTCTACACTCACAACCGAATCGCTTACAACATCCGTAGGTTACCCGGTTCTCACGCCTTGACAGCGCGCCACGTATGAATGTAGCGACTCGACGACACGAGGGCTACAAATAGCCCTCGTGTCCAACCTACAATTCATATCATTATTCCAGCCATGACAAACGTCCAGCTCCTCCGCTTTCTCGCGCTCGTGTGGCAGGGGTACCTTCAACTGTTCCTGCTGCCAGTGTCTATCGCTATTGGTACTGCTCTGCCAACACGCAAAGTTCTGACGTGGCTGTTCGCGAAGTCGGTATCCTCGTTCCCGCTTCGGGTGTGCGCACGAAGCTATTTGCGACGGTCGCGCATTTCGCATTTGCTTGAATCATGCTCAGGAGGACACACGTTCGTCCAATCGTGAGGGTTACGCATTCGAAAGTGGGTTCGACCTGGGTTTTGTTTCGTCCGACTTGAACACTGTCAGAGGTGGACACACGATTGTCGCAAAGACCGCCTTGCGAAATTTGCGAAACGGGTTACCAGCAAAAGTTCGAGCTATTTTTGAACCTCTTCACCAAAAGACACGCGCCCTAACGTGGCCGCTTCAGCCGCGTTTTTGTAAACAGAGTCCAGACGAATTTGTGACCCATCAACAACCCCCCCCCCCCCCAAAACCCATCGCCAAAGCGCCCGAGCGACTCCAGGGGCCTTCATTCCTACTGATCGCAGACTTTTCGAGTCGGCTCGTCGTTGTTCGCCGATCTGCTGCCTCAATAGTCACCGATCGGGGTAGTTCGTCTCTTTGGGATCGCGTGGAGCCCTTCCATCTGAAATGTTGCGAGGCACGCGGATCTTACGGCACCACGCCTCTCGATCGTCGCTCTCCCGTTTCACTCAACCCTGCCTCCCCTCGACTCCTCCCCCGTGCCTTCCACACAGTCCTGCTGCTGTTTCCTCCTTGTTACCATCTTCGTCGCTCTTCGCACCACCCGCGAGCGATGCAGCTCCGGATCTCGCAGCTACCGCTCCTGGCGAGATCGAAAGCTGTCGGCATGCCGTCGCCGCGTTCCGCCCAGCGATAGCGTGCGACGGCGGCGAAGGCGACGGCAACAGCGACGGCGGCGACAGTCGTGTTCGCAGCGACTCTTCCTCTGCACTGGCATGGAATAATCGCTTCGATCCTCGACTAATACGCACTGCCGCGATCCCTGCTTACAACACCAACAACAGCAGCAGCAGCGGCGGCGGCAGCAGCAGCGGCAACAACAGCAGCAACACTAGTGGCGGCGGGAGAAGCGGTGGCGGCACTAGCAGCATCAACGGCACTTCAACAAGCAGATCCGCGATCCTTACACACACTTGTGGTCCTATACCCGCCTCTCCGCATTCTTGTAACCGTAGTTTCTCCCACCCGCTCTCACCCTTACTTTGCCCGGTTTTTCCTGTCGGGAGAACGGCGCTTTTCCATTCCAAGGCCGTCAGGGTGCTTGCTGCTGCTACTACAACTACGGTAGTTCCCTCCAATAATGTCGCGAATGGCGCACGGTCGGAAGGGAGTAGCGGAGGGGGAGGGGGACAAGAGGGAGGGGCAGGAGGAAGGGGAGGAGGCGGGAGAGGGGGAGGATGGGGAGGAGAAAGAGGGGGAGAGGAAAGGGGGAAGGGATGGGGAGGCGGAGGGAGACAGCAGGCAGGGGCAAGGGAAGGGTATAGGCGTGTGATGGTTGTGGGGGGACAAGAACAGAGGCCTATGGAACAGCGGCGCCCAGGGTTTTGGGGCCAGGGCGGGGGTTATGGGAAGGACCAGCATCAACAGCAGCATCAACAGCGGCAGCAGCAGCAGCAGCAGCAGCAGCAGCAACATCGGCACCAACAACAGCAGCAGCAGCAACAGCAGCAGCCGCCGCCTTTTCGGCAGCACAACTTCGGCGTTACGGATAGACAGCAGAAGAAGTCACCCGGAGGGCCTCAGGGCAATTCCCGGGGGCAAGGGCAAGCGCTGGGGCAGGGACAAGGGCAGGGACAGGGGCAAGGACAGGGACAAAGGCAGGGGCAAGGGCAAGCCCAGCGGCAAGTGCAGGGACAGGGGCAGGGACAAGCGCAAGGGCACGGGCAGGGGCAGGGGCAGGAAATGAGGGTGAATGAGGCGATTACTGCCTGGACGGTGCGGCTGGTGACTGACGAAGGTGCGTGCGTTACTGGTGGGGGATTGGAAGGGGGCGAGATGGAGGGAAGAAGGGAAGGATGGTGCGGCTGGTGCGTTACTGTTTCAAATGAGTTGCTCCGCAAGGATGGTGGTGCGGCCAGTGACTGGTGGTGGCCCCTCAGGCGGTCACCAGCATTCACCATTTGGTTTGCAGCATGCAGAATTCACCAATTAAAAACCCACATCAAACAACAACTATAGCCTATTCACGTCTCCTCTCGTCCCTTCCCACCAAAGCACCTCCTCTCCTCCCCTTTCACACCCCATGCGCAGGTCACGAGTTTCTCCCTCGGCCGCAGGCCCTCAGCGGCTTTTGAGTCGACTCAAAAGCCGTTTCCACACCCCCTCCTCCCCACCCTCCCCTTCCCTCGCACCCCACCATGCGCAGGTCACGAGGTTCTTCCGCGGCCTCAGGCCCTCAGCCGGGCTCGTATGGTGGGGCTCGATCTGGTGGAGGTACGATTTGATCTGATCTGATCTGATCTGATCTGATCTGATCTAATATTTTTCAGCAATGCGTTGCTTGGTCTATCGCTCGTCACACATTGATGAAGCATGCGCTGCGCAGCTCAATTCTTTCCAAGCATGCGTTTCGCAACTGTCTTTAGACTTTTGTTCATAAAACATTTAGATCCCGAGATTTTTTCCCCCGCCCCCCCCCCTCCTCCCTCCCCTCCATTGATCCCTGCCTGTTCGCCCCTTCACCCGTGGGGATGTGGTGGCGGACAGGTGAATCCGCGAGCCGACCCACCCGTGTGCAAGCTGATGGACTTCAGCCGCTTCCGCTTCGAGCAGCGCCGCAAGGACAAGGAGATGCGCCGCAAGAAGGTGTGTGCGGGGTGGGGGGGGGGGGAAGGGAGAGGGGGAGGGGGAGGGGGAGGGGGAGGGGGAGGGGGAGGGGGAGGGGGAGAGGCAACTGGTAGGGCTGGGGGGATGGAGAGAGGGAGGGTGAGGGGAAGGGGGGGGACAGAGAGGGGGATGGGGAGGAGAGGGGGGAGGGGGAGGGAGGGATCGGAGACAGAAAAGGGGCAGTTGAGCAGACGAGGAGGGTTTGTTTGTGGCGAGATGGTGAGGTGATCGAGGAGGGTATGGTGAATGGAGAATGATCGCCAGAGTGCCAGATGTATGATGATGCGTGGCGTCCATGTCTGTCATGTCCTAATCCCCCTTGGCATCTCTGTCTGCCATGTCTCTTAAGCACCCCTGACAGGCACAGTAGAATGCCTCTGCCTACCTGACTGTCTCTCTCTCTCTCTCTCTCTCTCTCTCTCTCTCTCTCTCTCTCTCTCTCTCTCTCTCTCTCTCTCTCTCTCTCTCTCTCTCTCTCTCTCTCTCTCTCTCTCTCTCTCTCTCTCTCTCTCTCTCTCTCTCTCTCTCTCTCTGCCTGTCCTTGCTTTGCCGGTTGCTGGCAGGTGGAGAAGCGGAGGCGGGACGAGGTGAAGGAAGTGCGCGTGAGCTCTCGAACGGTGAGACAAGGCAGGGGAGAGGGTGGGTGGGTGGGACTGTCATGTCATGTCAATGTTCCCCTGAGCGTGCAACAGGGACAGCCAGGTTATATTTTACTCAATTCAAAAGCTTCCCTTCCTGTATTCCTCTCCTCACAGTCGTCCTCCCTGCCGGTGTGCACGCACTGTGTGCACGTACTAGGGAGCATCGGAGCAATGCGCCTCAGAAATGGTTTTCCTCCGCTCCTTTTGTTTCCCTTGCTTCATGTGCCCGGCCCGTGTGTGCGTGCGCCAGGAAGCAAGGGACGTGGCCATGAAGGCTGACGCAGTGCTCAAGCACCTGCACCGGGGGCACCGGGTCAAGGTGGGTGAGTGGCAAGTGAAGCGAGATCGTGAGAGCGTGAGAAGCATACGTAGGAGTGAAGTGAGGGGCACATGCAAAGAGACCTGCATTTGGGGGAGAATCGGCAGCATGCTGATTGAGGGCTGCAAGTTCTGCTGAGGTTGCCTCGCCGTTCAGCTTTTCTTCCCGTTGAATCATATCACCATTGCATCTTCTTCTAGGCACACACGTTTTTGTCTCCCTGCCGTGCCAGCTGGTTTGCGTTGGTATGGCAGCACGCATTGGGTGTCCCCACATGCACCATCTGTTCACCTGCTTTCTCAGTCTGTGCTTCTCTCACTGCCTATACAACCTGCCTGCTGCTCTCCACTCACCAAAACTCTTTCAATCTCTGTACCCTTTACTTCACATGCTGTCTTAAACCATACCTTCTGCCCCTTCACCCGGCCCCCCTGTGCCTGTGTCTTTGCCCCCCTGTTCCCCCGCTCCCTCTGCCCACATCCCTGCCCCCTTCCCCCTGCCCCCTTCCCCGTTCCCCCTTGCACTGCATCCCTGCGCCCTGTCTGCAATCCCTTGTGTGCACTGCACTGCACGGCACGGCACGGCACGGCACGGCACGGCACGGCACGGCACGGCACGGCACGGCACGGCACGGCACGGCACTGTGTGCGGGGGGGGCATCATCAGATGTCAGTGATGTTCAAGTCTGCGGACCATGACCAGGCCGTGGGGCAGGCACTGCTGGACTCCATGCTCTCACGGGTAAAGCTCCCGCACAGAGGGGTGTGGGTGTTTGGGTGTGGGTGTGCTGTGTGGGTGTGCTGTGTGGGTGTGCTGTGTGGGTGTGCTGTGTTGGTGTGCTGTGTGGGTGTGCTGTGTGGGTGTGGGACCATGACCAGGCCGTGGGGCAGGCACTGCTGGACTCCATGCTCTCACGGGTAAAGCTCCCGTACAGAGGGGTGCCAGTGTGTGGGTGTGGGTGTGCGGGTGTGGGGGAGGACTGAAGGAGGGTGGAGGGTGGAGGATAGTTGGGGTGCTGGTAGTGGAAGGGAGTGTGAAAGGGAATGTGGAAAGGAGTGGAAAGGAGTGGAAGGGAGTGGAAGGGCTTTTTGTCGGTGGTGCCTGATTAAGTTGGTGGTCTGTCTGGCTTGGCACTGTTATGCTGCTAGTGTGCTATTGCTATGCTACTGGATTGCCACTGCCAGACTGCTGGCATCTCCCCGCTGTCTGTCTACCTTGTTCCCTTCCGTACCGCCTTTCCCCAGTCCCTCATCCCCCCCCGTACCCTCCCATGCCTTCCATGCTTCCACCCCCCCCACCCCATGCATCCCTTTGTTTCGCATCTTCCACCTTTCTGTGTTTTCAGCATAGCATGTTCTATGTGCACCAGTCTATGTCTTCACCCCCTTGCCCTGCTGCCACCCATGTCACATGCCCCATGCCACATGCCCCACGCCCCATGCCCCATGCCCCATGCCCCATGCCCCATGCCCCATGCCACATCTAAGATGCCCCATGATAATGACCCCTCCGTTTACCATGATCTCCTCCCCCTCCCCCCCTATGCGCCCCCTCCCACCGCCTCCTTCCCCCCATGGTCCTGGAGCTGGGTGATGCTGCCATAGTGGAGGTGAAGCCCAAGGATGAGAGCCACTGCACATGGTGCATTGTGATGGGTTTTGAGTCGACTCAAAAGTGATTTCCTTGCCCCCTTCCGCCCTTCCGGTTGTCCACCCCATGGTCCTGCAGCTAGGCGAAGCCGCCATAGTGGAGGTGAAGCCCAAGGATGAGAGCCACCGCATGTGGTGCATTGTCAGACCCAACCCCGCGCTGCTGTCTGCTGGTCCTGGCGGCAAGAGCAAGACAGCACGCGCTGAGAGAGAGGCTGAGGAGGAGGAGGAGGATGAAGAGGAGGATGAGGATGAGGATGAGGGTGATGATGGTGAGGACGAGGAAGAGGGGGAAGAGGAGGAAAACGGAGAAGGGGATGGGGGTTTTGTTGCAGAAGTGGATAAGGAGGTACGGAATAAGGGATTGCATGATGAGGAGGGCGGTGAGGATGAAGGGAAGGAGAAAATGATTGACGACACAACTCGAGTGGAGGTTGCAGGGCCGAGATAGTTTCTTGCTCAACGATTTATGGGTATGGTATTTCATGAAGCGTTACGCTCATGGGTATGCTAGAATTAGGGCACCCTTGGATTTCTGCCGATATAATTCGTTGAGTAATTCATGCAAAAGCAGACGTTCTGGAATCAAATAACTAATGTGACTGTTTGTAACAAGAACGTTGGTTGCTATCCATAAGACGACGTGCCGACGAAGATTGACGACGAAAATTTGCCATCATCTGCTTTGTAGCAGCATTGGGATCTCCTTGCAACTTTTTTTCTCCCCAATCCAACACTTCAAGAGTCAACTCAAGACCCTTGTCACTCGCCCCCATCACAGCCAAACCGCGGCAATGTCTAGGTCATTGAGAGTAGTTTCAGAAGCTCACCGTCCGCGTTCTGGCTAGAGGGATCTCAGGAAAGCATCCTACCCGCCGTGAAGGGCCGCGTGTGTGACTGTCCCTCTCTGCCTGCGAACCGCTCAGATCGTCCTCGCATTACGTCACGCCTTCCCCTCGAGAAAATCGCAAATTGCCGTTTCATCGTATTTCTTCTGTCGATTTCGCCTTTCTAAGCCGACACTATATACATATAAATAAGAAGCAGCCTCGTTCATTGGTCGTCTCCCGTTGGGGTGTGCAAGGAGGACTAGATACTTCCACTTTCTTCGGCGCCTTAAACGAGTGGGAAGGTCTAGAGAGTACTAGTTCAGGAAGAGCGCGGGGGGGCGGAGTGAGGCGCAAGGAAAGTGGGTGACTGAGACGTTCTATATTCCCCTTAAATACCCCGCGACTGGTAGGCGAAAAGGCCGGCACGATGCAGTCTCTTTCTATGAACGATGCGGCCATCACGGCGAAAGAAGACGCCGCGAAGGAGCTCGCGAAGCTGCTGCCGCTCCCGGAAAACCTGGTCAACCTCGCCGCGCTGCGCGTCGACTACGCGCAACGGCAGCAGGTAGGAGAAATAGGAGGAACGGGAAATAAGAGAATTGGGCGGAGCGGGTGAAACGGGAGAAATTGGAGAAGGAGGAAGAGCGTGCTGATGCGGCTTGGAGCTTCCGATGACGTTCGTCGGTTGCGGGTTGTCGTTATGTGTGACTGTAGTGCTTCAGTGTCTCCCACAGCTGTCTCTGGAAGTAATGGCTTTTGAGATCATACCCGTTAAGATATAGAAGCTTCTCGCCGAGCTAGTGTGGAGTCAGTCGGAAGGCAAGTGGGTCAGCGATTTTACGTAAGACATAACTCCCGATTTCGTATTACGGCGGGTAAGAAGCGATGGCAGGATGGAACGACGACGAGATGCCTTCGAAACATTTTCCGCGTGTAGCGCACAGCCCCGTCGCACGTTAAAGTGGAAGCTTTGAGACGGCGCATACCATTCATTCCCCGTGCATTGTCTCAAAAAGCTCGCATTGTCCATTTTTTTCCCGCCCGGTAAACTGTTTCAGGCTCACCCAATTTTTCCCCTCATGTTTATTCAGCCTCTTACCTTTCGCTCACTGTCTCTGAAACTGCGGCGTTGAAGAAATTAGCATAGGCCGTCCGCGTAATTGTAGCATGCGCGATGAAGTAGGAGCTAGCGTTTTCACCAAGAGATTGTGGTCCTTTTTGACCGGCCATCCGTCCCCCTTCCTTCGCCCCATTTCCGGTCCCTCTTGTCTCTCAAACTCGCTCTCGTTCGCCCTCTCTCCTTCATTTCAGTAACCCACCCATTCATTCTCTTCGTTCCCTCCCCTGCCCACTCTACCTCTGCATCCTCGCGCTTTCTCTCGCCCGTCGCGACGCCGCCAGGCCAACGACGCTCAGCTCAGCAGCAGTGTGACAGCACAGGTATGTCTGTTCGCCACACGCCCTTCTGCCTTCCAGTCCCAGCCTCTTCCTCACGTCCCTCTGGCTGTCTCTGTCTCCGTTCCGTATATATGTCTCTGTCTCCGTCTCCATCACCGTCTCCATCACCGTCTCCGTCACCGTCTCCGTCTCTTTGGTCATGCAATGCTAAAAAGGCTACCTCTTATTCCCTGATACACCAACTAGCTTCGGTCAAACTTTTCCCACCTTCCCCTGATCCTCCCCGCCTAGTACACGGCTCTGTGCAACCGCACTCTCTCTATATCCTATCCTTGCTTCCTAACACTCTCTCTCTCTCAACTGCACCCCTTCCTCCGTTTTCCGCTCTGTCCTCCCCGGTACTCCCTCCCACACATTGCCGTACCATGTCATCCAGTCCTCACCTTCTGATGTTTAGGTTCGCTTCTCATCAACTTAATGTCACTCTTCTCAGTTCTACCTCATCATCGCCTCTTCCCCTGTTCCTTTTCCCTCGCAGGTGGAGCAAGCGCGCAGTGGAATAGAGGCGCTGGCAGCAGCGCAGGAGACCATTGCACGTCTGCAGCAGAATTTCGTCATCATCGAAAAGTGAGACGTGCTCGCACTGCTCTGTTCTGCTGCCTGCCTGCCCGCCTGCCTGCCTGCTCGCCTGCCTTCCTGCAGTCTGTCTTCTGCCTGTTCCCCTCTCACCTGCCTGTGGTCGCCGTGTGTACACAAGGTCGCAGTCACACACGAACGGTTACACAGCACCATGCATGTGGATACCACGTGAACACGACTTGTCTCTTTCTCGCTCGCACTCACTCCCTCGCTCTCTCACACTCTCCCGTCCCCATCTCACTCCGCTCCCGCGCCCGCCAGTCTGTGTGCAGAGTGCGACAACCTGATTCAGAACCACGATCAGATCAAGCAGCTCAACATCGTGCGCAACAACCTCAACAAGACCCTCAAGGTACCCTCCACACCACCTCTGCACCAGCCCGCTTCTTCCTCTTCCTCTTCGTCTCCCCCCCCTCCTCCCCTCTCTCTATCCACCCCCCACCTCCTTCCCTTTTCCTCCAACATGGCGATGCGTGCGTGCATGCGTGCTTGCGCGCGCGCGCGCTCGCGTGTGTTTGCGCACGCGCGTGCGCGTCATGCTTGACTCCTCCACACTCCCTTCTTGCCTGCCTGCCTGCATATCTGTTGTTGCGTTGCGTTCCATTTCTTCCTCCCGTCCTCCCCTCTCCCAGGATGCGGAGGGCATGCTGTCGATATCCACAGAGGCCAGCGAGGCAAGGGCGTCACTCAATGATGAGCGCGAGCTCGTCAAGTCGTATGAGGTCAGTCAGCTGAGAGGCTCTGTTATGGCATGGCATAGCAATGCAATGGATGGCATGGCATGGCATAGCATAGCATGGCATGCCATTGCAACTTATCGTTGCATGGTGTGTGTGTGTGTGCTGTGCAGCCTGCTAGTGGTACCCACGTGTGCTGCGCTGCACTCACTGAATTGGCTGCTCTTTCCATCCTTTGACCAACCAGCCCATCTCCTTCCTTCGCATGCACTTCCACTACCATTCACATGGCTCATGGTTAACTGGGTGTCCCCCCCGACGCCCGTCACTCACCTGAACCAGGTGGTGTAAGTCGTATGCGTTACTCCTGAAGCTTTTCTCTTCTGCATCTCGCAGGCAACCATAGTCATTCCTTTTTCTGATCTCTCTACGGGCTTTTGGTCTTTCCATCCGTACACTCTGCGTGTTGCCTTGCTCTATCTGCCCCTGCCCTGCACTGTTGCTGCTCTCCCCCAGCGCCTCACTGCTCTGGAAGGCAAGCGCCGTTTCGCCCTGGCTGCAGCACAGAGACGACCGGAAGAGGCTGGCAGACTGAGGTGAGTGGAGAGAGAGCGAGAGTGAGTGATGAAAGAGAGAAGTTGGGAAAGGAAGGCATTCAAGGAGGGGAAGTGGAGAAGAAGGGGAGAATCGTCAGGAAGGGTGGGGCACTTTCTTTTGAGTCGACTCAAGGGTCATCTCTTGTTCTTTTGCCCTCTTGCACTCTTGCCCTCGTGCCTGCGTGCCAACCCCCGTGCTGTGGGCGCAGGGAGTACTTTGAGGATGTGAACCGCACGAAGCAGCGGTTTGAGGAGACGCTGTGGCGGTACATCCGCGAGTTCTTCAAGCACGCCAAGACCCGCCCCCAGACACTCGTGCAGGCTGTTCGGTGAGCGGAAAATGACAGAGCAGAGAGCCTATGTGCAAGTGTGCATGTACACATGCTTGCCACACTGCGTTCCAGTTTACGCATCAGATCAACCCCATGTATGTCCTTGTTTCCTCTACGTTTCCATGGCCTCTCTCGTCCATGGCCTCTCATCCATGACCTCTCGTCCAGGGCCTGTCTCATCCCTCGCCTCCTTTCTCTCATCCCTCATTCCTCTCAGCGTGGTGGAGATGCAGGAGATTCTGGACGAGGAGAGTTAGCGGGAACATTTCGTTTATTTTCCTTGCCTTCTCTATGCCCTCTCTCCACCCTCGTCCCCCATCCCTCCCATCCCTCGTCCCTCTCAGGGTGGTGGAGATGCAGGAGATTCTGGACGAGGAGAGTGAGCGGGAGCACAAGGACCGGGAGGGCGAGGAGGACGACGAGGACGCCGAGTACGGGCGGAGGGACGAGCGCAACGGGCACATAGAGGGCGCGGGGTACAAGGACATGTGCTACCAGCAGATCCAGCTGGGGGTGGACGACCGCTTCCATGAACTCCTTAACAAGGTGCGTGATTTGCTCCTTGCTGCAGCTCCCTGCAGCTCCCTGCTGCTCTCTTCTGGTCTTTGCTCTCTGCTCTGTGATGTGTGTGCTGCATCCCTTCCCATTCCGCTGCCCTCCCCCCCTCCCCCCTCTCCCTCTTCCCCCCTTTTCCCCTGCTTATTTCCCTTCTCACTCCCTCCGTTCTCTTCTTTCTAGTTTCTTCTTCACCTCATGTTGTATCCTGCTGCTCGGCTGTCAGCACTATCTGCTTTTTCCCCTCCATCCTCTTTTCCATTCCACCTGCTCCCATCTCTCTCCCCGCTCCGCTCCCCCTCACCACTTTCCTCTTTCTCTTCCCCCATGTGCCTTTTTCCCCTTTCACCCCCTGCATGCTCGCCCCTCCCCCGCATGCCCCCTCTGTGTGTCTCTCGCCCTTGCAGCTTGTGTATGAAGATCTCAAGAAGGCACTGGAGGAAGCCACGCTGGTATCATCGCACTGCCCGACTCACACCCTGCCTGCCCTCCTCACACGCACCCTGCCTGCCCTCCTCACACGCACCCTGCCTGCCCTCCTCACACGCACCCTGCCTGCCCTCCTCACACGCACCCTGCCTGCCCACCCGCCCCCCTGTCTGCCTGCCTGTTTGCGTGCCTGCCTCACCGCTCGCTTGCCCGCACCTCCGCCTGCCCTCCCCCCCTGCCCCTCCCTTTTGCTTGCTCGCCTGCGTGCCTGCCTGCCGATTGTCTTATCTGCATGCATCCCCTTGTTCTAAGCCTAACTGTCTTCCTGCTCCTCTCATCTCCACTCCGTCTCCCTCCTTTCGTTCAACCCCCTCTCAACCTTTCCCACCAGCCCCCGCCAGCAACCTCACTCATTTTCCCCTTCCCCCCCTCGCCTCCCTCGATTCCCTTCTTTCAACGCCCCTCCCCTCCACCCCTTAGCTTGTGGACGACCTAGCAGATGTGCACAAATACGTGGCTCCCTGCTTCCCGCCGCGGTGAGTTGCATCCCCATCCCACGGGCCCATGAGTGAGAAGCCCTGGGTCTGGGACCTCGCGTTCTTTTGCCGGTTCCTCTTGTTCCTCTTCCCACTCCCTCCCTCCCTCCCTCTTTCCTTCCTTCCGTCTTCCCTTTCCTGTTTCTTCGTTCTTTTTGACACCCCGGCCCCCACTCCCTTTTCTCCCACCCAAGCCCCACCGGGTCCTCTTGCTCAATCTGATTCTCCCTCTGCTGTTTCTTCTCGTGCTCCCCGTCCCTGCGTGCCATGTGCTGCGTGCCCCTCCCTGTGTACCAGGTACGAGGTGTTTCAGGTGATAGTGCAGCTGTACACGCAGCACTTTGTCACCATGCTGCACAAGCTGGGAGACCGCGCCAAGGACATTGACAACATCGACATCCTCAAGGTGCGTGTGAGCATGTGCGTGTACGCGTGTTTGTGTATGTGCGTGCGTGCATGCGTGCGTGTGTGCGCGTGAGTGCGTGTGAGTGTGTGTCTGCCGCCCCACCGGCCTACTTTTGAGGCGCCTCAAAACAAGCTGGGCGACCGTGCCAAGGACATTGACAACATCGACATCCTCAAGGTGCGTGTGTGTGAGAGCACACGCGCGTGCCCGTCGCCCCGCAAGGCTGCTGACTGTTTGCGGGGTGGGAGAGGACGGCTGATGGGTGATGGAAGATGAGTGGTGTGGTCAGTGATAGTGGTTCACACGTGTGGGTGAGGAGCTGATTTTCGTGGGAAAACTTTGTGCGGTTTTGCAAAACCTCTCTTCCTCCCTACCATACCTCCGCCCCTCACTCTCTCGCAGCTGGTGGGGTGGATCAACACGTGTGAGGCGAAGATGGGGCAGCTGGGCGTGGAGGACAGTGTGTCGATGCTGCTGTCGGAGAGTGGCGCCCTGGACCCGCTCATTGACGAGTACGCTGAGCGCATGTCCGAAACCATGAAGGGCTGGCTCAAAAACATCCTCGAGTTCGACAAGGTGAGGGCGGAGTTAAGGGAAGGAGGAGACGAGTCGAGGGGGTGGGGGACTGACAAGGAGGAGGAGGGTGAGGGGGGGGGGAGGGTGTTAGGTTTGGTGGGAGGGAGTGGAGGTGAAGGGCTGGCTCAATAGCACTCTCGAGTTTGACAAGGTGTGCGCGGGGAGAGGGAAGGTCGGGGAGGCAAGGGGATGGGCTGGGGGAAGTGGAGCAAAGATATCCTCCTGCCTTCCCTCTTTACACACCACCCCACTTTTCTCTTCCATCCCTCACCTCCCTCTCCCCCCCCCCGACTCCCCTCCTCCTCCACTCTGCTCATCAGAGCGACCTGCCGAACGGCGAGGAGGGCCCGCTGTACACACCAGTAGCTGTAGACATGTTCCTTCCCTGTTCCCCACCTTACCTTCCCCCCCCCCCTTCACCTTCTCTCCTCATCAGAGCAACCCGCCTAACGGTGAGGAGGGTCCGCTGTACACGCCAGTGGCGGTGGACATGTTCCGACTGCTGTCAGAGCAGGTGCAGCAGGTGCAGGAGAACAGCAACTCGCTCATGCTCTTCAAGACCGCACAGGCCATCGTGGAGGTGAGGGGGAGGTGTGGGCCTGTGGGCTTCCCAATTGGGTTTGTTGAGCGTGTGGGCGCGTGTGAGTGTGTGAGTAACTGACAGGTGTGTGACGCCCAACAACATCAGTAGGCATGAGGGGGTGATTATGCGAGCGAAGCTGAGTGAGGGAGACACTGAGCATTTGAGCCGTCCACACACTACTGAGAGCAGCACGTTGTCGCCTATGCTGCCGACGGCACCTGCGTTCCTTCCTGCCCCTCCTTCTCCCGTCACCAAATGGGAACCTGTCCTGTCCTGTCCTGCCCCGTCCCGACATGCATGCGTGCCCCCACCCCCACAGCTGATCCTGGACTTCCAGGAGGAGGAGATCAAGTGGCTCAAACAGCCTGTTGACACCATCGGTCTCGAAACTCTCTGTGCCATGGTGAGTTAGTGAGTGAATGAGGGAGTGTGGGAGGTAGTGTGGGAGGGGAATGTGGGTGGGAGTGTGGGAGGAAGTGTGGGAGGGAGAGTGTGGGAGGAAGTGTGGGAGGGAGAGTGTGGGAGGAAGTGTGGGAGGGAGGGATAGCAGGTTGTTTGATGTTTGACACACTGCCTGATGTATTCTCTTCTTTGTATTCCCCCCCACCTCCTCTTCCTGACCTTTTCCTTGCTCCCCCCCCATCCCCCAGGTGACCAACAACGTGCGGTGCCATGACCTGTCGGTGAAGCTGATGTGATGTTCTTCTCCCCTTCCCTTTTTTTTACCATCCCTCCTCCTCCCCCCCCCCTCACCCCCCCAATCCCCCAGGTGAACAACAACGTGCGGTGCCATGACCTGTCGGTGGAGCTGGGTAACACCATCGTGGAGGCTCTGGAACAGAAGCATGCTGAGCTGGTGGGTGTGCACGCGTGCATGTGCTGCTGCTGCTGCTGGGTGTGGTGGTGGGTGTACATGCGTGCATGTGTGGTGCTGGTGCTGATTACAGTGGTGGGTGGGTGGTGATTTTGCGGCTGGTGTTGGTGCTGATATTGAGTGCAGTGTTCGCTTTCTTTCCTTTGCGTATTGTCCCCTCGTCGACCCCTCTCCCCACCCATCTCCCCCTTCCCCCTCCGAGCCTTCCCCCTTTTTTTCGGGCCACAGATTGACTTTCAGAAGCCGTGCTCTGGATTCCTTGAGGTCGCAAAGGTCAGTCAGTCCTCTTCTCGCTCTCCAAGAGCGGTATGGGTTCATATGGGTGGTTGATATGTTGTCTAAATGGTTGATTGATAGTTGATTGATAGTTACTGAGAGTGACGGGCAGCTGTAAGGGTAGCTGTGATGTGAGGTGAGGGCAGCTGTACTGTAAGGAAAGATACTGCTCTATGTGGTTGTCTAGTCTAAAGAAGGGGGGGAAAAGGGAGGAGGGTGAGCGCAGGGGGAAATGGGCAATATTTCATGTCATGCCATGCCATACCTTGCTTTCCCATGCAGGTGCGTGCCTCGCCCACCATACCACCTGACCCTGTATATTTACCATGGCCATGTCTGTGCCCATGCCCATGCCATGCCCATATCAATGCCCATGCCCATGCCCATGCCCATGCCCATATCAATGCCCATGCCCATGCCCATGCCCATGCCCATGCCCATGCCCATGCCCATGCCCATGCCCATGCCCATGCTCATGCCCATGCCCATGCCCATGCCCATGCCCATGCTCATGCCCATGCCCATGCCCATGCCCATGCTCATGCCCATGCCCATGCCCATGCCCATGCCCATGCCCATGCCCATGCCCATGCCCATGCCCATGCCCATGCCCATGCCCATGCCCATGCCCATGCCCATGCCCATGCTCATGCCCATGCGCCTTCCCATGCCATGCTGTATCCCCCATGTCATGCGTCCAGGAAGCGGCCAATCAGGCGGTGGAGTTCATGTTCCTCGAGTCCCTCAACGATGTCGTCGCCAAGCTCTACCAAAAAGGCAAGCTTTGCCAAAAAGGGCAAGCTCCAGTTTACCAAAGGGTGCCGAAGTAACAATCATTCATTGTCTCGTCATCCTCTCGGCTGTAAACAACCTTGTCAATGTGCTGCTGTTGCCTGCCCGTCTGTGCCGTCTGAGAAGTCTCTCAAGTGTCTGCAATCCAATGCAATGCAATGCAGAGTGGCTGGAGGGCAACATGACGCACACCTTTATCGCCACGCTGGAGGACTACTTCCAGGACATCAACAGGTGAAATTAGTCCCGCGCGTATTTTTTTTAAGAGTCGATAACCTGGAAACAAAAATCCCCATCATTGCTACACTGGAGGACTACTTCTTGGACATCAACAGGTGACGCAGTGACGCGCTCTCACGCTCGAATGTTTTTGTATGCCTACAAAGTTTGCTGTTTAGTACCCCAGAAAACATCTCTCGATCTAGTGTTTTCGTTTTGACTTAAGATTTCACTTATTGCCATCGCAAAGAAATTCCCTGACATCCACACATTTACTACTTCAGCCAGGACATCCGCACATCCCTTCCGGCGTAGGGAGTTCTTTTCTTCTCTCCACACCACGCTATATCCTCCCACTCTGCCCCCCCTCGCTCCTCCCCTCCCCCCCTCCCTCCTCCCCTCCCCTCCCCTCCCTCCTTCCCTCGCTTTAACGGTGCACGACAGGTGGATAGAGGACCGTTCGTTCCGCCGCTTTGCAGAGGTGTGCTTGGAGCGCACTGTGGTGGTCTATGTGGACCTGCTCATGCAGTCGGTGAGTGCGCTGCTGCTGCAGGTAAGGGAGATTCGTTTTTCGTGTGAAAAATACGCATCCAAGCACTATGTGTGCACGTGTACTCCCCCTCTGTTCGTTCATGGCATTTTGATACAGGTGGATCTATGATCTGTGATGACATGCCTTAACGCTCATCCTTTCCCTCCTTGTCGTGTGCTTTACCTGGTCCTGGCACTTCTGAGTCGACTGAAAATATCTCCTTCCTTCCTGCACTTGCCCCGGTGCATGCATAACAGCGCCAGAGCATAACAGAGGCAACCATCAATCAGATGAGCAAGGACGAGGACAGCATTAGGGAGTACTTCCAGGAGTACATCTCGCAGCAGGTACGGTTACATCTCGCTGCTGGTACGGTTACATCTCGCTGCAGGTCGCTGCTGGTACGGTTACATCTCGCTGCAGGTACGGTTGCATCTCAGAACAGGTACGGTTACATCTCGCAGCAGGTACGGTTACATCTTGCAGCAGGTACGGTTACATCTTGCAGCAGGTACGGTAAAATCTCACTGCAAGTGTGGCTATGTCTCACATCAGGTACCAGGTACGTGACATCTCACAATCGGCACAGTTGCGTACGCCCCACCCATAGCAACAGTTTTAGTGCCTTACAGAAATTGCACGTTCGGGTGCAGTGCAGCCAGTGGTGGATTCAACCCCATCCTTACCTCTTACCCCGCCATCCTCGCCTCGCCTCCCCTGCTTGCAGAAACTGGACAAGCGTGTGCAGCCATGGGCGGATCCAAACTCCCCCCATCCCCACCTCACCTGTTACCTTATCCCGCCACCCTTTGCCCTCCCCCTTCCCCTCCTGCCTTCACCTGCAGAAACTGGACAAGCGCGTGCAGCCACTGGCGGATCTGAGGGCCCTGGCAGCATCAGACAACGCAGAGACCATTTTTTAGGCGCCCCAGAAAGGTACCACTTTTTTCAGACGCCTCGAACCTCTCCTTCCCCCTCCCCGCTCCCCCTCTCCTGCCTGCAGAAACTGGACAAGCGTGTGCAGCCACTGGCGGATCTGAGGGCCCTGGCAGCATCAGATGACGCGGAGACCTTCACGCTCAACTACACGCAGCTGCTCTCCAACACGCCCGACTGCCCCGTGAGTCCACGCAGTTTTAGTTCAATCCGCTCCCGAGTCGACTAACACGCAGAGACCTTCATTCTGAACCGCGCGCAGCTGCTGCTCTGCATTCCGAGGAGAGCTTCTGTGATTTTGCGTGAAGGCATAGCTCCATGTCACCGCTCTTCCTAAACGCTCCTCCTTCATTTCCCTGCCAAATCCCCCACCTATACGCCCCACCCCCCACCCCTATCACTCCCCTATGCGCGCCATCACACGTGCAGCCGGAGGTGGTTGAGAAGGTGGTAAATCTGAGTGAAGGCATTCCTCTTGTGTCACCACTCCCCCTTACCCCTTTTCCTCACCCCTCCTCATGGCACTCCTTGTTGCCCTCATCACACGTGCAGCCTGAGGTGGTGGAGAAGGTGGTGAATCTGCGTGAAGGCATTCCCAAGAAGGCAGCCAAGGAGGTGAGCTGGGATGCATTGCGCTGAGCAAGCTGCTGTACCGGTATAGGTAGGTGACAGACAGGTGGTGCTGCAAGTTACAGGTGAGCGGCTGGTGCTGCCTTATCTGCTCATGCCCTGCCACAATTTGCCCTCCTTGGCATGCATGCCATTTTTCTCCACGTGTGTCTCGCGGTGCAGGTGGTGCAAGAGTGCAGGGAGATGTGGGAGCAGCACATCGAGTCCAATGGCACACCCGCTCCTGGATTGCTCTACAGCCGACTCACCAACCTGCCTAAGAAGTAGCACTCTGCTGCTGCTGTTGTTGCTGCTTTTCCTGCTTTCCCTTCTCCTGCTGCTGCTGTTCCTGCTGGTGCTGCTGGTGCCGCTGCTGGTGCCGTCGCTGGCGGTGCTGCTGCTGGTGCCACTGCTGCTCCAACTCCTGCTGCCGCTTCGCTCCTGCTCCGCTTCTTTTGTCGTAGTGTTGTGGCCGATGCTGCCACTGCAACACCAGCTGCTGCAAGGGAGATAAGAGCATCATGATGACAGTGACAAATTGGCACTGCTCTTGGCCCGCTATCTTTTACTCATGCCTCTGATCTGAATGTTGAACCCATCTGCTGGTGGTGGTTGTTTACAACTGTCTGCTTTGCACCCATGAGTTTCTCTCTTGATGGGGAGATGTGGTGAGGTGAGCTCCTGTTGACAGTGTAGGGCTGCTTACCCTGCTCCTGCTAGAGCCGTTCCCTTGTACTGTAATACTGTAAATGATTCTCCTCTAGTGGATCTGGAACTCGTGCAGGCACTAATCTTCCCTCTGACAGTTTCTGATTAGGTGTATCAGAAACAAGTAGAGCCAGATGAATATGGTAGACAGTAGTAGGTGAGCTCTTGTTCATATACCGTACCTGTTGAGACAGCTTCATTGGCACACTTGTTTCATGAGCAAGCTCAATTGCATGCTCCTGACCGAGCAGGTTGTGGCCACAATTGAATTATAACCTTTCATTGGATGTAAACACACGCATAGCAGAAGGGGCATGCTGCTGACAATTGTTTAACAATCATGCTGGCAAGAACAGTGCATGCATTCCACAAATTCACACTACAGCCATGTTGAAAGGCATTTTGAGGCGCCTCAAAATGCATGTTGAAAGGAGCTGCCATGTCGTTTCGGCCATCAAAAGTCGTCGTCATCATCATCATTTTCATCCCGGCCAGCATAGCGCTCATACTCTTCGTACTCATCGTAGTCATAATCATCATCACCATCAGCGTCTGCTGCACCACACATGCCCTCGTCCTCGTCATCATCGTCCGCCTCCTCCTCCTCCTCATCCCCGTAGTCGTTGAGAGGGTTGTTCTCCGCTGCACCATCAAGGGGCAGAGCATTGCCGACCACAGCGAAAAGGCGGAGCACAGCAGGTTAAAAAGGGAGAATCGGACCAAAACAAAGCATGCGCACACGCAAGCACGCACTCGTGTCTGATGGTACATACCTAGTCCTTGTCATAAACAAACGGCAACATTGCGACTACAGGCTACAGGCTGCAGGCTACAGGCTACAGCTCACAGCACAGTAAAGTACCATTGGAGTCGTCACTGTCGGGCTCTGAAAGAAGCACCTCCCCATTGTTGAGAGCAAACGGCTCCCCACTCTCGTCAAACACATGGTTGTCACATATGCGCAGACTGATGGAGAGAGGACACAGAGAGCGAGCGCAAGAGGGGAAGAGAGAAAATGTAGCTGAGAGGCAATGTGGGAGTGCCTGCCACGTGAGACAAATTGCTGAGAGAGAAGTGTTTCAGAGTTCCCAAGCGCGTGGTCGGTGAAACATGTGTATATGCGCACACTGGGACAGAGGAAACAGACCACTAGGGCCCTGCTTGGTGCTGCTGAGGAATGGCCCTGTGCTGCTGGCCCCATGCTCTTTGCAGCTGACCCCATGCTCGGGCCTTACGCACGTTGGGTGCGGTGCAGTGTGGTGGCGGAAGTGGTTTCAGAGAATTCTAAAGAAACTCACTGCCCAGCCCACTCACGTTGGGTACGGTGCAGAGTGGTGGCGGAGGTACGAGCCAAGCGGCCCATCCATGTCGTCATCATCATCAGAGAGGCACCCCTCCATGCAGTACAGGTCGCACACATCATCTGAATCCGTGTCCTGCTGCTCCTGCTCAGATTGCTGCTGTGGCATGATAGATTCTTGCGGACCTGATTGCGCTGATGTGGGGGGGGAGGGGTGGGATTGAAAAGGCAAATTTGCATTGCGTCAGTAACACCTTGAGTTTTGAGAGGCACCCCTCCATGCAGCACAAGTCGCACACATCATCTGAATCCGTGTCCTGCTGCTCCTGCTGCTCCTGCTCAGATTGCTGCTGTGGCAGGATAAATTCTTGCCGGCCAGATTGCCCTGATGAGGGAGGGTGGTATAAAAAACAGAAATGTTCTTTCGTTACCGTGACTGACTCGGGCAACTCTAGATTGATGAGAGAGTGAAACCGCCTGTACAGAACCTCATACTTCAGAAAGGTAGGAAGCAAGGAAGGAGGTGTTACCTGTGGCAGCATCAGCAGCAATGCCTCTCTGCGGCTGCAGCATCTTCTCCTCCATCTCCCGTGCGGCCTCTGGGAGGAACTCCCTCAGCAAGGGCAGGTAGTTGCACGCCAGCTGTCCCTCCCTTTCCTCGCGCTCCCTGCCCCACCCATGCGGCGAACGGCGTTTCAAAAGAAGGGGGGAAGGGTGGGAGGGAGAGAGGAGTGTCGGGAATGTAAGGAATATACTGCTACTACATTATATTCTGTGACAGGAGGGAAGGAAGAAAGTCAGGCAGTCAGTCAGAGGAGTGCGGGCGACTTGAGGTGCGCCTCAATGGTACAGCACATCAAGAAGAAAGGACAGTGCGAGCGAGGATGCGCACACACGCACGCGTGCACGCGCACAGACCTGAGTGCCTGCTCTCTCCTCTTGGCCTTCCTAGCAGCTTCTTCCTCCGCTGCCCGCACTTGCTCTGCATCCACCACATTGAACAGCCTCATCCACTCCTCCTCCTCCCCCTCCTCCCCCTCTTCCTCCTCTTTTCCCTTCTCCCCTTCCCTCTCCTCCTCTGCCTTGTTCCTCGCTCGTTTTTCCACCCCTTCCCCTCCTCTCCCCCTTTCCAAAGAGCCGTAATCAGCACCTTTTCCCTTCCCCGAGCTCCAACTCCTTGCTTCATGCCCCTCCCTCGTGTCCTGTTCCTTCTTTCCACCTCCCTCCCCAACAGCAGCATCAGCAGCAGCAGTTCCAGTGAGGGAAGCGGCAGAGCCCTCCCTCTTCTGCTGCAGCAGGGCGTGGCGCTGCATCCTAGACACCTGGTGCAGGGGAAAGGTGGAGTTTTGAGGCGCCTCAAAAGTCGTCTCAAAAACTTTTGGACGCCTCAAAAGTCGCTGCATCCTAGACACCTGGTGCAGGGGAAAGGTGGAGAGCCGAGATGAGGTGCAGTGACGGGGAGAAGTGACAGGCCTATTTTTGAGTCGACTCAAAAATAGGCTCATCACACCTGGTGCAGGGGAAAGGTGGAGAGCCGAGATGAGGTGCAGTGACGGGGAGAAGAGACAGGCAACGCGAAGTGATGGGAAGGGACGGGCGGGCGGAACAGTCAGCCAGTGCTTTTGCACAAAGGTGCTTTCCTAGGAGCTGCATCACGGGCCTCATCTCATCCTCATCCTCATCCTCCTCGCCCAACCGCGACAAGGGCATGGATGGGCTGCTGTCTGTGTATGCTCTTCTACCCCCCCATCCCCCCACCCCAACCTCCCTTCCCCCTTGTCCCCCCTTCCTATCCCCCCTGTAAATGACCCATCCGCAGTGCCCTAGGAGCTGCATCGCGGGACTCATCTCATCCTCGCTCTCCTCGCCCAACCGGGACAAGGGCATGGATGGGCTGCTGTCCGTCTGTCTGTGTATGAGCATATGCAACCCCGTTTCCCTTACCACCCTCCCCCCATCCGCATTGCCCTAGGAGCTGCATCGCGGGCGTCATTTCCTCCTCATCCTCCTCCCCCAACCGAGACAAGGGCATGGATGGGCTGCTGTCTGTGTATGCACACGAGCTGGCAGAGGCGACTAGTAGCCCGTACCTCCAGACGAGCTCAACCCATGTTGGCCTTTCACCCATCAAAACATCTATCCTCCTCTCCAACCTTCCTCTCCTCACTTCCCCCAACCCCCTCTTTCCCGCCCTCCCTCTACCCACTCCCCCTCCCCTCTACCCCCGTTTCCCCCTTTCTTCCCCAAGTCATCTCCGCCCACCCGCACCACCCTCACCTCTCTCGCTCTCTTGGCCGCCACACGCAGGCGGGGCGCGCTGCTCTCCTTCTCACTGCGCCGCTGCTGCTCAAATGGGGCAGCCTCAAACGCGGACGCGCCATCTCGTTGCCCCTGCATCCGCCGCCGCTGCTCCTGCTGCTTCTGCTGTTGGTCGAGAGAAGATTCACGATGAGACGCACTCTCTTCCCAGTGCTGCTGCTGCTGCTGCTGCTGCTGCAGCTTCAGCCGGCGGAACGTTCTGTCCGCCGCGCCTGCGTGGCGCAGGCTGGCCCACGGCATGGACCCCACCCGCCGGAACACCAGCCGCCGCCCCGCCGCCCCGCCCCCGCGCGCGGGCGCTGCATCAAAGCGGGATCAGATGCGGGGAAGGGGAGGGGGTAAGGGGGCGCAGGGGTGGGGGAACGGGGGGGCGGTAGAAAGGGAGAAAAAGGAGCGGGGGGTGAGGGAGCGGGAAGAGGATCGGAGACGGGGGGAGAGAAGAGCAGCGGAAGACAGGAAGGAACCGAGGGGGATGGGGAAGTATGATACGCGGAGGGCGGGGGAGGCTGCGGTTGCGAAAAAGGGGGAAGGGCGGGGGAAGAAAGGAGCGGCGACGCACGTGGAGCAGTGGAAGCAGACGCGTCTTCTCTTCGACCCTCCACAGCCTTTGCCTCCTCGACCGCGCTTCCCCTTCCCTCCCGCGCCTCCGGCGCATCCCGTTCGTTCCCGCCTCCGCCGCCCCCTCCAAGACTCAGCGCGCGGAGGGCCTCCACGTGGCTGCGCGCAACCTTGGTTCTACCGCCCCTAGGTGCCGCCTCCACCACGATCACGTCAGATGACGCCTCCCCGCGCTTCCGCTTCACCCGAATCAGCACCTGCCGGCTTCGACTCGAGGTGCTACCGCCGCCCTCCGCCGCCCTAACTTCCGCTTCCCCCTCCGTGGGCCCCTTGGCTTCCCCCTCCGCCCTTCTCTCCGCTCCCCACTCCGCTCCCATCTCCGCTCCCGCTTCTGCTCCCCCTTCCGCCATCCTCTCCGCTCCGCCGATCCGTGCGCGCTGGTCTCGAGCTGCTACCTCGACCGCCGCACCAAACGAATCCGATGCGCTAAAGTCTCTTGCCGGCCCTTCGGAAAGGGCGTGGCTGCGTAGAGGGTGCGGCCCTTGGACTTCTGGACCCGAGATTCTAGGGCTCGATTTTCCTGTCCTGACTGCTTGGCTCCGTGAAGGCGTTTCCGGGGCGAAGGCTGGCGACGAGATGTTACCTCTGGCGGCGATCTTCGCAACTTCGTGATCTCGGTGATCGTTCGCTGGAAGAGCCGCACAGTGACCGTTACCTTCGGTCCGTGCCATGATTGGAGGGACCGTGCTGTGGCAATTCCGAGAATCCTGCGCGCCTCCGTTCGATGCGACTCGTTGTGAGGACAGCGCTTCGGTATGCCTGGCAGGCATGGCTGGCAGCGTTCTGGCGGGAAACACGAAGCACTTTTACCGTGGAGCAAAGCTCGACTAGAATCGGGTTTGAGCGAACGAATGACCGTGATTCACGGTATAGCGTAGGGAAGGGAGACCGATCCGTGAAATGAACCCAGTCGGTTGCGTGCATCTCCTTTCTCCACGGCCTGGAACCTCGTCTGGTCTGGGCAAGGGTCTCGTCTGGATGGCCTGGGGGGTGCTGGCCAGCTAACCCACAACAAGAATCGTACATAGCACCCTACGAACAAGGTGCCTTGCCTTGTCAATTCAAGCCAACAAAATCCCACACAATGGAGATGGCTTGAAGGAGAAGTGTTAATTGCGCCGTATACCCCTAATAAGAGAAGGTTTTGACTGGAAAAACTTAAATATCAATCGCCCGGCGTTGTTCGCAAAAGTGGATGAAATGGATGGATTACAGAGAAGGTACACAGCAAGTACATAAATGGATGAATTACAGGGCTGTTTTCCCAACAGGATGCTGTATATTTAGGTGCACGTCAACGTGAAGGGTGAAACCGCGTATTAATATTGTAACCCACTCTTCCTTCTGACGAAACCTGGGACCAAGGTGCTTCCCGCGCAAACCTGCGGCTTGGGCAGTAAAGCGTTTTTAGCGAATTCGTTAATCCCTATAGGGTACACACCACCGGTAATATGTTGAATGACGTTCTTATGGATCTCATCATACGCTTTAGATCACATATGCGTTTCAGTCTGTGAACGGACGACTGCGCATTTATATGGGTCAAAGAAATTAGGGTAATACGGCTCTTGTGCGCCACCTTATAGCGCGTTACACGTCCTCTCTGGAGAACACTGCTTCCAGTTGCCAACGCGGGGCGGATCCACCTGTGGCCACGTTGTGTTACACTGTCGACAGCGACATACAAGCTGGCATCGCCTCCCCCCAAACTACCCAATCTTAGTCGTCGGGCTTCAACCAGCCAGCCTCCCACTGGTTCCGGCGCAACACCTTGAAAAACACGGTTGGTGGGGGTTTGGTGAGACATGTGACGGCTCAGCCGCGAACGTGCTCTCTCGCGAACATGGTGCGTTGGCGATGCAGGATCTGCAAGAATTGTCTTTTCGTCAACGCGCCGCCACCAGAGAATTTGGTGCAACCCTGTGCCGAAGCGCACATGTGAATTTGCTGTGAATACAAATTCGCAGCAGCCCCATTGCTTCAGTATCCCACAGCTTCACAACTCGAGCTTCGACTGAACTTACCTTACCCACCAAGGTTCATCAGCCTAACTCATCCCTACTAGAATTCCATAGAACAATCATGGCACGCTCAAGCATCATTTTAACCCTTTCCTTCTGCGTCATATTTCTTCTGGCGTTTGCACCTCGTGCTGCGGAGGCGAGGCGCAGTCGTCACGTGGAGATCCAGGAAACCCTGGAGGAGATCGCGATTCGCCTCCGAGCCGCGGCCGATCAGGCTGCTGCTGATCTAGACGCAGCAAAGGCCGTTGCCGCGGCTCGCGCCGCTGAAGAAGCAACTGCCGCCGCCAACGTGGCGGCAGCGGAGGCGGCGGCGGTGAAAGCCGCGGCGGATTGGCAGGCAGCAAACGCTGCGGCAATCGCGGCGAAGGCCACCGCGAAGCAGGCGCGGAAGAACGCGACGGACGCGAAGCAGGCGACCGCGGGGCTAAAGAAGAAAGCAGAAGCCGCCGACAAGTACCAGAAGGCGCAGGAGAAGGCGCAAAAGGCGCTGGACAAGGCCGCGCAGGCGAAGGCGCGGAAAGACAAGGCCACAGCGGCGGCAGGCGCACAGCAGAAGACCGCCGACGACGCGACCAAGGCGGCCGCGGACGCCGCCAAGAGCAAGGGGAAGGGCAGCGGTGCGGCAAAGGCGGCGGACGCGAAGGCAAAGGCGGAGCAGAAGAAGGCGGCTGAGCTGAATAAGGACGCGCAGAGCGCATCCGCGGAAGAGTCCGCCGCGAGCGCGGAGGCAACCAAGGCCACAGCGGAGGCTGCGCGCACACTCAAAGTGACCCTCACGCCGGAGGAGCAGGCGCTGCTGGACAAAGCGGCTGCGGCGGAAACGGCGGCGGCGAAGGCGGAGGCGGACGCGAAAGCAGCGGAGGACGCGGCGAAGGCTGCGGAGAAGGTGGCGAAGACCGCGGCGGTGCGGCTGACGAAGCTGCGGGCGGCGCTGAAGGCCGCGCAGGCGCGCAGGGCGGAGGCGGACAGGATCGTGGCGGAGAAGGCTGCAGCTGCGGAGGCCGCGGAGGCTGCGGCGCAGGCAGCGGAGGCGGCTGCCAGAGCCGGTGCCCCTGGCTCGGAAGGTGCGCCTGGCTCGGAAGGTGCGCCTGGCTCGGAAGGTGCGCCTGGCTCGGAGAGTGCGCCTGGTTCTGAGAGCGCGCCTGGCTCGGGTGCTGCTCCGGGATCCGCGGCGGCTCCGTGACTTCCTTCCACTGGCATAATGAAGAGATGGATGGTCATTCTTTATGATGAAAACAGCTGAGTCCTGACAGGACTATGGTTGCGTCGTGCTGTTTGTTTAGTGAACAATGCTCTTAGTGGAAAAGAGCAGAGCTAGCTAGGGATTGCTTCATTGTCATTCGTTTGTTTATTAATTTCATTTGTACATCAAGCTTTGTGTGATAGTGGGATCAGGATTCAGCATCACTGTTGCTACATAACCCTTTTGAGTTCCTCTGGCACAGCCCCTCTGGCCATTCCAAAAGGCAGAGTTTCTTCCAGGGTTAGCCGAGGAGGGTGCTCATGTTCCTCATGATGCTTGTTAAGGGAGGATTTACTGTTCACTTTGAACAGTACTTTCCAAGTCACCCGTATCCTTATCTTCTCAGATTCTCTAGTGCCACGTGGCACTCTACTTTTCTTGCACTACAATTCCTGGTCCCAGAGTCCACTTTCCAACATTGTTTATTGCATGCTATATAAACCTTGCTTGTATTCCCTCATATCGGCCAATTCTCATTCAACTCTTCTACAATTACCCAGTAACTCCTTCGCCTATTTCGCTAGTAGTTCTTTCGCCAAAGTCTTCCGCCGCGCTTCATCCTCGACTTAGTCGACCCCGCTAATTCTTTAGCGGACTTAGGCCAGCGGGCCTAACACTTGGTATCAGAGCCTTCGCGGGGAGCGACTTCCAACGAGCGACCGTCGACGACGAGACTACGCCGTCATCGTCCCGCGGTGCCGACTTGCAGACTTGGAGTCGTCGAGCGAACATGGACGAGGCCATGGACGCTCTCCCCCACGACATGGGCAACACGCTTGCTTAGCTTATGCGTCAACTCGAAGAATTGACGTTGGAAAATCGTCAGGTACGAGCCGAAATGCAACAGCTTCGCAATTTGGCTTCTAACCCCCATGGTCATGCCGCACCAACTCCTGCACCCACCACGTCAACTAGCGCGGAAGCGCTGCCGGAACGTCGAAGCGCGCTCAAGCCGCAGAAACCGGAGTCGTTCGACCCAAGTCAACGCGACGCGAACGTGCGGACGTGGCTCTTCATGCTCAACAACTACTTCGCCGCGAGCGGGGTGCAAGAGGCGGACGCGCAGCAGCGGATCGAGTACGCCGTAACGCTGCTGAGGGGCCCGGCCTTGGAGTGGTGGCGCCAACTTACGCAGACTGCTGTACGGAGGGCTCAGTTAGACGGGCATCAACAGGGCGTGGGGCATGCAGCTGCAACTTCGAGCTTAGGGAGTCTAGCTTTGGGTGTTACCACGGTTCCGACGACATGGGAAGGATTTGAAGCGGCGCTGAAAAGTAGGTTCGATTTGGTGAATGCCTCCGAAGCTGCTAGGAAGCGTCTGCGTCATTTCCGACAGATAGGAAACGTCCAGGAGTACACACGACGGTTCTTGAGCATCTGCAACGAGATAGACGACATCACGGAAGCAGAGATGCGCGATCGCTACCTCGAAGGGTTGAAGCCGGACATAGCGGAGATTATTGCGATTCACGGGTTGTCCACCTTCGAGTCAGTTGTCGCAGCAGCAGAACGCGTCGACGCAGTACGAAGCCGACGGGGTCGTGACGATCGCGATAGGGGATACAACAGACCGATCAACGATGCTCGATCGAGGGACGGACCATCGCCCATGGAGATTGGTGCAGTTAACAGTGACGGTTCACAGCGTAACGGTTTTAGGGGGAACTGTTACTACTGCAAAAAGCCGGGTCACATGAAGCGGGACTGCCTACAGTTCAAGGAGCGGCAGCAGGGAAACGGAAACCGCCAGTAGATAGCGGGTCGCTAGCTGGCGTAGAGGTTCCCGTACCCGCCACGTCTACCAACGTAGAGAGGACGGCCTCGCAGCAGTCATCTACGGAGAACGAGGTAGACACTGTTGATCGTCCAGTCGTGCTTCTAGGGAAGCTTCGCGAAGTTCCTGTTAAGATTCTCGTCGATAGCGGAGCTAGCCACTCGTTCGTTTCGTCTTCATTAGTTAGCCGTCTCCATCTTGCATCAGATTCCTCAGTCAACTTCAAAGACGCACGTATGATAGATTGGACGCCTCTCCAGATAGGACCAGTTATTCGCAAGTTGCACGTAGTGCTAGGACCGATCACAGTTAGGCGTGACTTCGACTCTGCGACGCTGGACGGTTACGATTTCATCTTCGGGAGAGATTGGCTACGGACGGTTAGTACTCAGTTCGATTGGGCTCAGGGAAGCTGCAGCGTCAAGGTAGACGGGGAGTTCCGGGAGCTGCCACAGTGGAGCGATGGGGCCACATCATCCACAGCGATCATCAATGCTGTTCGTGTGCGACAGCTGGTGAAGCGAGCGGCACGGATCTTCGCGGTTTTCCTTGAGGAGGTGGAAGCTGAGGAGGGGAAAGGAGGGAGTGCAGCAGTTAGTGAGAAGGCGACTCTTCCTGCTGAGGTGAGTG